GCAGAGCGCTGTCCATTGTGCTGCGGGGGCGGAGGAGGAGGAGGGAGGCGGAGGAGGGGGAGAGGGAGGAACGGGGCGGTGACCCCGCCCCCGCGCACGTGCGCCGGCCGCCGCCATGGCGCCGCGCGGGGCTGAGGCGTGGTCCGGGGGATTGTGGCCTCGGGAAAGCGGGACGGGGCTCCAGAGAGGGCGGCGGGGGATTCTACCACAGGGTTTACCACAGGGTTTACCACAGAGTTTACCACAAAATTTACCACAGGGTTTACTGTGGGAGACTGGCTAGCTGAGAAGGGTCAGCTAGTCCAGCAAGAGCTCAATAAGCACCGTACTCAGCTTATCTAGCTCTCAATAACTGCAAGGCCTTGAAGTTGTTCTTCTGGCCTTGAAGGCAGCTGTGGTCCAACAACAGAAAGTCTGTGTTAAGGTAAACATGTAACCATAAGAAAGGAATTTTGGGCGGAACTGTCTTTTTAGAACTAACCAATAATGAGCTCTCATTTTGCAATATGTATGAGCTAATTATGTGTGTGCATAAAAGAATGATAGTGTGTCTAAATAAACGAAGCTTGCTGGTCACTCATATTGAGTGCTCATGTCTTCCCTCCGTCGCAACAGGTTTACCACAGAGTTTACCACAGAATTTACCACAAAATTTACCACAGGGTTTACCACAAAGTTTACCACGGAATTTACCACAAAATTTACCACAAGGTTTACCACAGAATTTACCACAGGGTTTACCACAGGGTTTACCACGAAATTCACCACAGGGTTTACCATAAAATTTACCACAGAATTTACCACCGTTTTTGCCACTGTGGTGTTGAAACCCCTGTGGTTGTCACCCATAAAATGACGCCAGGAGCTCACCAGGGAGTTCACGGAGCTAGAAGAGGCTTAGCTGCAAAGTAAAATCGACGCCAGGAGCTCACCAGGGAGTTCACGGACCTAGAAGAGGCTTAGCTGCAAAGTAAAATTACCGAAGAGAAAAATGGTTCTGTTTCACCTCAAACCAGCCACAGCTCCCACAGAAGACCCGGCCCCGCTGGTCATGGAGCTGATCAGGCCTTCACAAATGGAGACAGTCCTTAAACTCCTACCATTGCGCTGTAGGGAGGTTTGATTTATTGTGCGATTTATTACACAGCTCCAGCTTGGAGCAAACATCCCAGTAACCGAATTCTCCTCAGGAGGCAAAAGGCGATGATCCAGCTCAGAGGTGTTGAGGAGGACGCTGGGGAACATCCTCATCTCTCAGATCTCCTACCATCTCTCTTTCTCCTATTAGCTTTGAAACTCTGTTGTTTCATGAACCCTGGGGAGATGGTGCTTGCCCTGTGCTTCGGGGCGCATGGGGATAGTAGACCCCATTGGTCAAACCGTGTCACCGTCATGCCCTTGAGGACATGACTCTGCTGGAGAAGACGCCCCAGCCCCTGTGGGGTGGCAGAGAGAGCTGCTGAGCAGGTCCTGGGGCAGGAGGAGCATGTGGCACCAAGGAGTGATGGAGGAGAAGGATGTGGGAGAGCAGTCGGGGAACGTTTTGCACCTTCAAAGCCTCCTTTCAAGGTCTCCCTCAGGCCCAGTTGCCACTTTGCATGAAATTGCTGAAAAACATCACGCTCACATTAACTGCTTTTTCTTTTCCTGCCTCCTTATCGCTTTTAGCTGTAGAGCGTCCCCTTATCTGGGCAGGCATTTCAGGAAGCTGTGGTCCTATTTCTGATCAGAAATATTTCCTGAAATGTTCTGCTACCTCAGACCAAGGAGACCCGCCTGTCGCTGCTCTGCAAACAGCGAACCCACAGAGCCATCAAATGTCACAGCCCTCAAGGCTGCAGCCTGTGGGGTCAGAGCAGAGCCTCATCCTGTCCTCTGGTGGGCAGCCCTGAATGTATGTTTTCCAATGTATGTTTTCTCCTGCTGCCAAAAGCTCACCTTGGTGTTTTCCAGTGTTATAGACTCATAGAATATCCTGGCTTGGAAAGGGACCTTTCAGATTATCACATCCAACCATCAACCCAACACTGACAAAAGCCATCACTAACCCATATCTGTAAGCACTGTGTCTACCTGTCTGTTAAATACCTCCAGGGATGGCAACTCCACCACTGCCCTGGGCAGCCTGTTACAAGGTTTAATAACCCTTTTGGTGAAGAAATTTTCCCTAATATCCCTCCTAAACCTCCCTGGGCACAACTCGAGGCTGTTTCCTCTTGTCCCATGGCCTGTTCCTTGGGAGAAGAGATGGACCCGCCCTGGCTGCACCCTCCTTTCAGGGAGTTGGAGAGAGCGAGAAGGTCTCCCCTCAGCCTCCTTTTCTCCAGGCTGAACACCCCCAGCTCCCTCAGCTGCTCCTCACAAGACT